AAATTTTTATAATAAATAAATCTCACGAATTCGTACGTATTCATTATCATCATTCATAATGCATATTAGCGTAACATGTACCTATTCATCATATGAAATCTTCGGGTAAATCATTTCAATGTTAATGGCGAATTAAGCCGTGTACACGTTGGCCTGCGTTATCAATTGATCAATATTATATAACGCTCGTACGTATGTCATTCCGATAAATAATATTCGAGAGAGAAATAATTAATAACTGACTATGACGATAAGCAGTAAAATACTAAACAGTAGCGGAATGTTTATTCTTCGGAAATCTTATCTGCCGAAGTTATTTAAAAGTTAGGAAAATGTTTAAAGATTGGGAAAATATTCAAAACAAATCGAATAGACACTCGCTGAGTGCTACGTTGCCGACAACGAAGACGATAAACGAGCTCTGTTTTTTTTTTCTCTTTTATTGCAACGAGATTATAAGTAAGATCGTAAATGAAATATACAGCGTAGCGTAATGTAAATCGCAAGAGATCTGAACATGAAGTTGAATGAATAAATAAGCGAATAGAACGCGTATATAAATCCGCGCGACGGGTTCATCAAAGTTCATCCGGTATTGCCGCTGTGCAAAGACGTCAAAGAGATTCTTCTTATTGACGTCGTGTCCACGACACTGTCCGTTGTTTTTCCCGTTGTATTGTATGTTGTATTAATGATAAACTATTGTTATCAATAAGTTACACGATAAACTATCTTAGCTTCTGAAGTCGCGATGCGTCACCGTATACGTGGATTTAACAGTGCTCAAACTGACCCGATTTCCCCGGGTCAAATTCCAGTCAAACCAGCCCACACACATTCCCAGTTTGTGGATGAGTTTGTGGATGAGTGTCTTCGACACGACCGGTTATTCGTGTTCATCGGATATTTATACCGGAATATATATCTTCTTCAATATGCATGGAACCGCTATGATATTTAACTTAACGGCAACGTGTATACCTACAATATCACATCGAAAGCAGTGTTTAAAGAGTATCGAGAAAGCATCCGGCAGATTATCCATTCCTTTGTTAAAGCACAAAGATTAATGCACTGGCAAGTAATCTCACGTTAAATTTGAAGCCCTTAACATTCTCCGAGCGAAAATTTAAGATACCTCCTCACTCGAACGGGCGCCAGCAAGTGGTTTATAAAATCGAAGACAATAATATTTTTTTTCTCAAAATTGATTCTCGACGTTTGTTAACGATACTTTTGCACACGCTAGCTTAAATACGACTCGACCGTAATTTTTAACTTTACTTAACCGTAATTATAGTATAGAAAAAAGAAAAATATGTAGACAGCTAAGTGCAATCTATCTACGATCTAATCATTTGGAATGGAGTATGCTTATAGAAATTTTCGATATGTTTTAGTTTACAATTTTATGCATCAAGTCGGATTGGAATTTTATAATCCTGAGATATTATTTACGTCCTAAAACTTCATATCTCCTGCTAGAATTCGCAACTTTTATCTTCAATTTATCGTGCGAATAATTTTTATTGCTTTCTCTCTGCTTCTGTTCCTTTATACTGGCAATCGCCCCATTTAGCTGCACGACATAAACCGTCTGGACACAGCCGCAAAAGTGCAATCGCCTTTTGCGTGCGTGTAACATGCACGTGTCGCGTGAGAGGTCGCGTTCTAGTAAGAAAATCTCGTTTGAAGGAGCGGACTTTGACTCAGGAAAGCAGTCACGGGTCTACCGCTCCGGATATTTTAATCCATCGTTTTTGCTCGGAACACTGCAAGGTTGCTGGTAAAATTATTAGGATCATGAACGTTAAGCAGCACGACATTAGACCCACGATTATTAGCGAAAACATTATAAGTGAAAATATCGACAGCTAAACGCACGTGTACATTCCGCGCGATTTCCTTCAATTTTTGCGAACGTGGCTCGCGATATATTTCGCGGAAACATTATCACGCTGATTACGCGTTATATTTTTAAAAACATAGAAAGTTAACATCGGACGTTACGAAGAACCGGCGCAAAATCATGATATGTACGCCGTTTTGCTTCAACGGTGATTTGGAAAAATCTCTCGTGTAACGAGAGCGGAAAAGACGAAGCAAAAAAAGCGATAACAAAGCGACGGTTAGAGTTCATTAGAGTTCATTAGAGGGGAAACGAATCAGCCTTCTCATTCGGCATTTAAATTTATTTCAACCCATTGGCATTGATTTGTTTTATAGTGTAATGCATTGCAGTGTGGTGACCTTCGTTTGTATTAATTTGCATCGTCTTGCAGTCTTAACTTAAAAAAATAATTATTTTGAGATGCAAATCACAATGCCGCGATAATACTGCGATACGATTGACACTTTAGCGGTATCGAGCGGCGCGCACGTGATTCTCTAAACAGCGATGACGCAACTGTATCCTGTCTGTTTACGTTTCAGTGTTGCACAACGCATTTTTATCGCATGCTATGGCTTTTATCTCGCTCTTTTTCTCTCTTAGAAATGTTTGATCCCTTATTTCGTATCTAACACGTGTTTCGAACGAACATGATTCAGTATGTGAAGAAAGCAGAGAGTCGCACGGCGGATGACCGTATTGAATATAAATGCGATCAAAGAGCATTCGACAGGGTCGAAAGTTCCAGTCATGTTTTATACGCAGATTATACGCTAGAAAATTGCTTAGTAAGGATGAATAATGTACGAAGTCGCATCGAGAACCGATTGAAGAATTACATACAGTGTAATTTTGTAAAAATTTGAATGCACGTAATAAATCACGAGGAAACGTGAAGTTGACGAAGACATGAACGTTGTTGCTTTCGTCACTCGAGTTTGAATATTGTTAAATAATCGTTTCTTTAAACTCTTGTTGTCGTCGATCGGGTTGAAACTGCCTCGTGACTTTTTGCATTTAAAATATAGGAATAATTTCGGCAAATAATTTAATCGTCTGGTCATTTTCAACGATAACAACAAGGCATCAAGTGATTTAAATATTACGTGATAAATGATAAAATAACCGCAAATTTTGACTCATAGCACTCCTTACGAAAATATTTGCGACGCTGATACCAGTCATTCCGCTCACCAATAAAAAGTCCTAAAGGCATCATTTAGAGAGGCGTACAAACATTAATCGGGCTCTATTTCCGAATCGGAGCGTAAACATTATATTCGTTTAATTACCAGATACCTCGACTTAATAAGCGTTCCACGTTATCTCGCTCATTATCTGCAACTGTGACAGAGAGGTATACGATGCTTGTTTCCTTCGAGAAATATAATAGACGCTGAAGAAGAGCACTTTGGAGTACAAAGGCGACGAGAGGCGACCCAGCCGGAGAGAGCTTCGCACACGAGCACGTGTCGATTCGGGTCTCTCGACGACGTAAACTTGCTTCACCTACTTCTTCCGCGAAGAGAATAAAATACTCGTAACGTTCTCGCAAACGCTACTTTTCTCCCGCAGATCCGCAGGCAGGCAACGTTACACTTGTCGATTTCCTGATTACTACGATAATATATTGACACCTTACGAATAATGCAGTTGCGACTGGAAAGTTAAGCCAGGCAACAGGCTATAAGAATAAAAATGGATCAGTCACAATAGACTATTCTTGTAATATTCGATTGTGATTGGTCTATTTTTATTCTTATTGCTTGTTGCCTAGCATTGTGCAAGGGGCCTTAGACGTATATACACGGCACGGAGCGCGCAATGCGCGCGTGCGATAAAACGCATATTAACTGAGTCGTTTGCTCGGCCGATTTGGCGGTAAGACAACTTCCGTTATTATTAACCCGCGCTGACGCGCTGACACATGACAGACGCGGAAGAGTCGCGGACTCCACGAGAAGTTCGCGCGGCTCTTCCAGCCGCACTTTCCATCCTCTTCCGCGTCAGTTCACCCTCGCGTGTCCTTTCTCTTCCCCACGAGAGAGGCGCGAAACTCACACAGAGGTTTGTTTTCTATCGCTGGATTGACCTCGCTACTTTGCGCTACTTGTCTCCTCCTCCACCTCCTTTCTCCTCGACTGCACACACCTGTCTCTTTTGAAGTTCCGAAAGTGCTCGCTAGCTCAACGATAGATAACAAACCCCCCCGTTTTCCGACGGCGTGTGGATCGCGTGTGTGTGTGTGTGCGCGGCCGGCAAGAAGAACAGGTTTAACGATATAATGGTTACGCGATGGTACTTGCGAAAGAACTTGCCGCCTTGCTCGTAAGAGCTGTTTGCTTCATTCGAGCGGACGAGAATTCTATTATCTCTAATGAATCCTCTTCGGACACGTCGCGGAACGTCGCGTCTCTCCGTGTCCACACCGTCGCGGTCGCGAGGAACTCGGAGGTCTGCGTTTCCTGTCAGGCGGCAATTATTGCCGAGTGCAATCCGAAGGTCTCCGAACACGACTGTCTTCCCTGAGCGCGCGGCTCTCACGCGGATTGTATTGCGCGCCTCGCGGTCGCCTCGCGTGGAATTTCGCCGCGGATGTCATTAACCTTCATCGACCTATTTCGCACGGACACCCACCGCGCGCGGCCGCGCAGGTAGCGCAGAAACAGCCAGGCGATTTGAATCGCGGACGAACGGCGCTCGGTATCGCCGAATTTTTTCCCCTCGCGCCGCCCGCAAGCATCGTCGTCGCGAGCGCGGGCGCGGGCGCGAGCGGGAAAGCGTGACTCTCGCCGACTTTCTCGTCGGCGGGAGAAGGCGCGTATCGGTGCGGCAAAAAGTACGAAGGCGTTCCTAGTGAGTGAGATCCAGATAGAAAAATATTTTCCGCCGCCCCGGAAGAGGGGCGAGCGAGAGGCGTGCAGAAGTAAAGGGAATGAAAGGTCGAGACACAACCGCTGGCAGCCGATTGGTAGGTCACGAGGGTGCGCGACCGCGCCTGCGAATCGAGAGGCAAGCCACGCTTTACTCTAAGGTCTCTAATAATAGAACACCATCTTGTGTGTGCGTTACGCGAACGCTCGCGCGACGCGTCTGCTGCGTAACTCACCGTGCGCGGACGCGTATGCGTGTACACCGTATCGGCTCGGATGCTCGTTCGCGTTGTGAAATTTCAGAGATGGACGAGTCGGCGTCTCTCAGCTGGTCTCCCCCGTCTGCGTGTTGGCACTGCGGCGGCGAAGCGACGACACGAAACGATGAATCCGCGGTGGAACCGGGCCGGATCGGGCTCGGGCGAGACGCACTTCTTGTTACGCCGTATTATTACGTTTTTGTCGCGTAGTCGACGGCCTGATTAGGGAGCTGCGCGTGACTGACAACAACCGAACGAATCGGAGCACCGATGCGCACTGGGCCGGACTGCCGGAGTACTGAAGGCGACGAGCTCTCACGGAGCCACACGGAGAGCCGTTGCATTCACGCTCCGCGCAGCAGTGCGCGCGCGCAGCGCGCGAACCGCCGTATAAATCAACGAGTCAAGGTATCATTCCGAGTCATAGATGGGAAGGAGTCTTATTCCGCCGACCGCTGAAGGTCCGGAATCCACTCCGGAGGCCCGGAGGTTGTCTCCTTCGAGCGTGCCTCTGAAACACGAAGGTTCATTCGGCGCGCCATGCGATCGTGCGACTCGCGAAAGTAACGGCCGAATTGTCGATCGAAGATGACAGGATCTCGAGTTTTTTCGCTATTATTTTAAAATTGTCTCGAGAATATGTGAGAAGAGAAGACGTTGAGCGGCACATTCTTCAGACGCCTATGGGACGTCTGTTGGATATTCGTGTTGTTGCTGAGAAGTCATATTGTTTGTTCAAAAACTAAAGACAATTCGCTTGATTCTTCCTTGATTCTCGAACGAAGCGGGCTGATCTAGATTTCTATCGATCGAAAAATGGTGGCGACTCGTAGCGAAGATTTCGCGAAGCCGATAGAAAATGTTTCGGGTCTGATTGTATCGGGTCACTTGGTTAAAACGTTACCTGACGCTCAGAAGTGATTCAACTGCAGTCTCCGCCGCTAGATGGCACACGAGTAACTCGTTAATCGGAGGAGCCACGCGACGAGATAATGTCTGATGTTACAAGAGGGCGCTGACGCAGAGCGACGTTTCCCTGCTATGTTAAATCCCGTAATCGGGGGGCGGGTTTAGCGAGTCGGCGGTTATTAGTTCAAGAGCGTCCGTTGCGAGTCGCCACTCTTTCTATTACTTTTCAACTGGCGAATGGAAGTCGCGGTCGCGTAGGATTGAAATCGCCGACATAAAGATACCTGAACCGAGCATTCTGCGAAAAAAGGTATAATTAGCGTTAAGCGAAAAGTCGAAGCAAATTAGCCCGTGAGGTGTCGCAAACCTCCTCGTGACCGAAACTCTCTTTGCCTAGATCCAACCATAAGTTGCCCGGATCAAATAACGTAACGCCGATGTTTCAAACCTCAAATCAAGCGTCGCTCCATCCGCAAGTAGCGCGAAAATTGGAGACCTCGCAAGCATCCATCGAGACATCCTAATACAAAGTAAGTGGGGCGGCGTGTACATAATAAATGACACCGATATTTTCCAATGATTTTCGATGGTCAATATTGACCACCGCCATTAGGTGGGAGATTTATAATGACATAGATCGCGTTCTCGAACGAAACGTTAGTCGACAATCATGGTCGACAAATTATTCAGCCGGAGTAACAGAGAACGTTCGTAACGCATTGTTGCAACCGTCGTCGTTGTCTCGATTGATAGTGTGGGATCGTCTCGGCTTCCCATGGAAACGTGTCACATCTCCCGGATCTTTCGACCCGATACGAGTGAAGTAACGTTTTTCGCGCGAATCAAACGGTTCGTATGCCGTTAATAACGTCCCGCGGGTGGAATTAAACAGGCGGAGACAACGGCGGAAACACACACGGGGGCCCGCTCGCGTATTGTCTCTTTCCGCGGCTTCCCTACGAGGTGTCTCGCGCCGTCCGTCCGCTCGCTCGTCGCGGGAACGGTGAAAGCAAAAGCGGAAACCGCGGCGATAACAATTCTGGGAGATGCTCGGGAGAGAAAACGCCGCGCGCCGATAAGCGCGATTGAACGCGGCGGTCGCGAAATTATTAGCCGGCGTGTCTCGATTTTCCCGCGCGGACGCGGCTCGCACCAAGAGAGAGAGAGAGAGAGAGAGACGGCTTCGCGGAGACGAAAGATAAAAGAGACGAGTAATCTCCGTCGGCTAATGCCAGACAATCTCGAGACGGGCGTGGGAACGGATTGGAGTCGATTGCGAGCGTCGTCGTTCTTTATTATCTAGTCATCCGCCGCGGTCGTTCGACGTACACCTCGGCAGTCGCAGGTTTTAATGAAGTCCGCGAGGGGCTCAAGGCTCTTCTCTCGCTATTTACGTGTACTCCTCCTCGACTGTATTTCGCCTTTCTCATCGCGCTTCGGGCACGATCGGGGACGGGTATATACACACAAGGTCCCCTTGAAGCAGCGTGAGCCCAGCCTGAACGCGCGCCGTTTGCATTATAAAAATTCGTATCTTAATTAGGAAACGGCCATCATCGAGCGACGGTCAATCCGCGAGGCAATGATATTAGCGCGTCTTGTCACGCATGGACGATCGCGTTTCAGAGCTCACCCGATAGCTCCCAACATCGGAAGGAATTAAACGGCGGGTGTAGAAAATGGCTGCCGCAGGAGAATCCAATTTGTCCGGGTAGTTTGTGAGAAAACGCGACGCGGACGCGTAATTGTATGAGAATCCAATTTGTTAAGCTACTCACAGAAACATCTTTTATTCATCCTCGACAAGTGAGTCGTGAGGTCACGCGAAGTTATCAACGGTTGCGCCTCCGGCTTCGTGTCGTTTCGCCTCCGACGAAATTACCGGACGAGCGTCGCGACGCGCCGGGAGATCCTCGCCGGAGGAGGTAATCCTGCGCTGATTGTCGATTACCGATTTGGCAACACCATCACCGTCAGCAACGTTTGCATGCCACGTCGCGTCTTTCCGTACGGCATGCGGCCACCTGCGACTAATTGCGAGCTCGGTGATCGCCTAGGAACGGCACGTCGCGGGGATGACGTTGCTCTCCCTCGGCTGCGACCCCTTCGCGAGGGGCGGAACTTTCACGGCGCGCTACATTCTTCGGGCATTATCCCGTTTCGATCGATTTGTCCGGCGCTCGGTTAATTTAACACGGTGAAACCGCTCGCGTCGCGCCGAGCCGAGCCGCCGTCGCCTTCGGTGTTCCTCTTCGCTAGCCGCCGATTTCGAAGTCATCGACCAACGCCGATGCCTGGCACTGGCGATGGCACGGAGCAGATTAATATCGAGCGATATCTGCAGTGAATCGTGGAAAATCGCGACGTTTAAGGTCTCGCGGGGCAATGCTCCTTCGGCCGCCTTGCGTTCTAACTGGTTGCGTCTCCCCCGACCAGCCTCTTCGGCTGATTTTATTTAATTTGGCGGGATGAGAAACTGGGCCTCTCTTCTCGGCGACTGTGCCGACTCCTTCGATCGGTGTTTTCGCCCGACGCCTACGCTTTCTACGGTTGCCTGCAGATGCTGGCCGAGTCCGAGTAGTAAATAAGTGCGCGGCACTGATTAATCGAGGTGTCTTCCTTCTCACCTCTCTCGTTCTTTTCTTTACGTCTTCTCTTCTGGTTGGATTTTACTGCTGTAAGATTGTCAGGAGAATTTGGGAACTCTCTTTGACTTTTCTCGACTTTTCTCCTCCGCATCATATCTTTGTTCGTTATTGATATTTTTTTTTATATATCGCTTAATAATCTAGTAAACAAATCTCATCAAGTTTATATCGTTTCCATCTGTCATCGTGGCAGTAAATTCCCCAATTTTCTCGATATTTTCCCAATAATTTGTCGTTTCCAGAATCTTCAACATTGATCGAATTGCAACGATTCGACGGCGATTTTTCCTAACTCTCACGTGAGCGGGGAAAAATTGTTTACTTAGTCCTAAACATTAAGTTATCCGAAAATTACATCCCGTCGTAGACGCGTACACGCATCGATCGTTACAACGTCCGTGACGTTTTAGGGTTCGTAACCGACCCGGAAAGAGTCATGTCAACGCGTAGTTTATAGAGCTGCCCAGCGAATTGGGTCGTTGTACCTTCCCTTCGGGACCTACTTCGGCGACGACACGGTTGTGGAAGGACAGTGAAACTCCTTCTCGATGCATCGTCCACGTGTGCGCGCGGCGATTACGCCTTTCTCGGGCGGATACCGGCGATACCGAGCTCGGTGTATCTAGCTATCTGACCCGCGGAATTTCCAGCGAAGCGTGAAAATCGCGTCTCCCTTGGCGAGAAGGCGTGAGAAGACCAGCGCGGAACGAGGTCGCAGGAAATCGGCGACAAAGGTCTCAGCGATGACGCGACGCCTATCCGGACTTCGACGCTCGTCGAAACGGAGAAAGCTACTATACGCGCGGTACCCCGTTACCGTGACTCACTCCGCGAGATCTTTCCCGAAGAGTGTCTCTCTTTTCCTCTTTCTCTCTCTCTCTCTCTCTCTCTCTCTCTTTCCCTCTGTCTCCCTTTCTCTCTCTCTCTCTCCCTCTATCTCTCTTCACCCCCGTTACTGTGCGCCTACAATGACGCGACTCCAAAATCTCCCGGTTATCGGCCCGTTTGAGTTTCACTTCCTCGGCTGACTCGCTTTTCGCGCGAACGCGCCGGAATGGCACGTGACGTCAATTAAGTCTCGGAACTTGAGAGACCGCGAGACTTTCGATAATAGCACGGCCGATCGCGCGGGCTGTAACGTGGACCGAAACTCTCGTCCGCGACGCACATGTCCGCTCGGTTCTACGCTCGGGCTCTTCGCTCACGGAGACGCAACGACTCCGCGAGCGCACCTTTGCACTCGCTCGTTAGACGGGAAAGAGACAGAAAATGCACCGGCTGACCCACCCCTCGCGTACGTACAGTTACTCGCTTGTTCCCCACGAAGAAATGCTGTCTCAGATGAATAAGTTCAGCAACTGCGCGGGCAACTATACGCATTATCTGCCGGGGAATCGAAACCGAGCACGGTAACGGTCTTGCATCTGTTACCGCGCACGCTACAGTCTATGCCGGCGTTAATGCCCCCGGGTCTCTTCTCCTCGTCGCGTAAAAACACCGTTTTGCGTCATTGCGCCGCGCCGCGTCGCCCGTACAATGCCCGGTGCGGTCGCCGGGTCTCGCCAGCGCGCGTGTGTCAGTCGTGATCCGAATGAGAATTTAGCGGATTTCCGTCAATTCTCACCCGCGTGAGCTAAGTACTCGCAGAACGGCTGAACGTTTCGTCAATTTCCTTCCTATTGAAAGGAGCGGAGGAAATACTCTCGCGCGTGGAAGGAATATTCGAGCGTCGCGTTGAGAGCTTCCTTTTTCGAAGCGTTCTTCGAAAGCGTGCCCGACCGCGAGATGCATCG